TCGGAATGTTTTAAGTGAAGACCAGGAAATCTGTTAAATAGAAACCAGTCTCAGGACATACACCTGCCAGAGTGGTTTAAGCTTTGCTTTACACAGCCTTGGGACTGGGCATGAGTTAGCATTTTACTGTACTGAGGGCATCTCCAAGAAGGGACCGGGCACAATGAGATGAGTCTGACCTCCCTTCTCGTGGCCAGGAGCTCAGCTTTAGGGGTTTTTCTGGGGTCCTCTTGGCCTACAGGGGTTACATTCAGTCATCTGGGGGGGGGGTTTTGTTTTAGTTGACAATGTGCATCCCTAGAGCCATTGGGCCAAATGTTACAGAAGATGGCCTTCAGTCCCAAAGCCATTGGGACAATGTGCTTTTGTTTTAGTTGACAATGTGCATCCCTAGAGCCATTGGGCCAAATGTTACAGAAGATGGCCTTCAGTCCCAAAGATTGTCTGAGTGAAAAATGAATTTCCACAATAGTTCTGAATGTGTTCAGAGGGAAGAGAGGTTTTCACAAAGCACTTCGTCATGGAATTTGCTTCTGTATAAGGATTCCTTTTCACCAGAGGACATTTAGGAGCCAACTCAATAGTACATTTTGCTGCATTGTGGGTAAGATTACAAAACCTGCTTTCAATCTTGTAGCAGACAGGATGGTGTTTTATCAGAACTGAGGGTGGGTGAGCTATCAGCCCCCAGGCTACTGAGAAAGCCTGGAGAGCTTATAAACTAACAGAAAACTCCTGTTTTCTGTGTCAGGACCTGCCTCAGTGGTGTTTTCCTTGGTACCACTAAAGAGTTTCAGCCATATGTGAAAAAAGAAGTTTTAGTTATGACCAAAGATGGCAGGAAAAGTAAAAGAACTGTGCAATCTCCAAGGAAAATGATAATTCTTTTTGAGATTTTTAGAGCATTTCAAAACAAACATTGTGATTAAATTGAACAAAGTATTTTGTTGTACACATCTACTGTCGTAACTGTGGAGCTGACAAGCTGTGCTGAACGCTCCAGCACATTGAAAGTGGAATTCTACAAGGGGAGATGAATCAATTCCTTATTGTGCCGGGCATGTTTAATTACTTCTGCACCACTGTAAACCATCTGCTTGACTGATTAATAATTGAAAGAAAGATTGCCCAAGTGCATTTCTGTTTCTATAATCTTTGTGAAAATTCTCAGTTATTTTAGGATATTTTTTTTTAAACTTGTGGACACAAATGTCTCAGAAAAGAAAGACAAAGAAAATAAGATTAGCCAACAGATAAAATTTAATGGGGGATTTTTATGACCAGTTTTTTATCTGTAGAGAGATAAAAAAGCCAAAGCTGCCACACATATCACAACCTGAATGTGAATATGGGGTGCATTTTAGGAATGGGGTGTCAACCGTGCCTGGTGTCTGTGAGATGGTGAGCCATCCTGAGGTGGCCAGGGCTGAAGACAATGGGACCCAGAAGAAGCCCAGATTTTGAGATGCTCTAAAAATCTCAAAAAGAATTATGGCCAGAATTGGCTGTCTGGCACAGCTTTCTTCTGAAATTATGGCTCTTCTCCCTAGCAGCCAGGAGCCTCAGGAGCCAGTCCAGTGGGTGTCTCACAGGAACCCCAAGCTCCCACACTCTCCATGCACATTTGTTGCAGATGCTCAAGCCAGAAACTTGCTGCCTTGTCCCAGGGACCAGCACACCCTCCAGGCTTGCCTGCCCGGTGTGACTACAACAGGGGCTCAGGCCCTTGCCCGGCCCAGGTGCTGGAGAGGCACTGCTCCTGTTCCCCCTGCTCCTGCCCCTTCCCCACCAGGATCCATTCCACCTGCTGACACCAGAGTGAGCTTCTCAGAGACACAGTTGTGGATCTTCATTGGGTGCATATTCTATAACCCTCATGGCAAAGTCTTGCATAAAGTGCCTCAATGAAATGTGAGGTTCTAGGGATCAAGAGTTTAGCCTCATTTATTTCACATCTTTAGGCACAGAATGAGTTTTACAGGAGAGGGTAGACAGCCCTGAATCTCTACAGAAAGTGACTC